TCATTCCCGGTGAAAAACTGGTAATTTATTTATACTACAGATTGCGTAATATAAATACATCTTAATGTTGCAAAATTAATAGATTTCAAGAAGGTGACTCGAAATCATTAGTGTGAATCTCAAATTACTAAGGATGACACCTTGAATTTTGCATATGTATTTGCAAGAAATTGAAAATCTCAATTGCAAATAGACGTATTAATCTTAACACGTAGCGAACATGGAGATATATACATTCCGGAATACATCGTACTCAACAGAAATACACTACTATTGTAATGAATAGTAATGATGTTGTAAACTTGATGTTCAAGTGAGAACTTGAATTGTATAGACCTCAAATTAAATGAGATGATGTTGTATCAAGTTGCAAGATAATTCAGCAAAGTGAATTAATATTTTGCGAGAGAATTAATCTCAACAGTAATGAGATTATTTTGTGAGAAAAAGAATTTTTTTCTCAATCGCAAATGTTGTGCGAGAAAACTTAATCTCAATCGTAAAACAATGTCGTTGTACTAATAGAACATGTTATAGGAATTGCTAAAAAGCAAACACATTGAACATGCCACATATAATAACCACATATTTTCTGGAATGTTAAACTCAACAGAAAGTGGGCTAAATGACGATCGGTATATGGCCTAAACATTACCAATGCTAATAAATAGCAAGTAGTTGGACCAAGGTGCAATATCCCGAAACATCCCGGAATAGCCACAAAATGATGACAAACACAAGTTTTGGGGTATTCTGTAAATAGGTAAGCCACAAGGGCTAAATTGCAAAACTAGTGAAGAGATAAAGTTCTACCTCTTTCCTCCCGAGCGATTTCCACCAGGAGAAATTCTGTAACCGCCTCATCGCCGTTTTGGCTCGACGGCCAGGGCCACCACGGTCTTCGACGCCGCGTGAGTAAAATGCATTGATGGTCACTACGCTTACTTTGGTCACTGTATTTAAGAATACAGTCAATACGGCCATTATATACGTGGTGTGATGATTATACGGTCACCGACACGTCGTATAGCTTTGTATTTTGTTTAGTTGACCGGTCAAATGACGCCTTGTCAGCTTAGTTTCTCTCCACCGATGCATGGGACCCACCTGTCAGTTGTAGAAGGAATAAAAATAAAATAAAAGCAACGCCAGGTTATCTGCGCACGCACTAACACGCGGCTGAGGAGCGCTTGTAGTTGCCGAAGTCGGCTTTCAGACGCCGATAAGTTTGTGCTGATGCTGTCGGGGTTGCAGCGCCATGATGTTGCTCGGCACTTCGCCGTCGACGGGCCGCCGGAAGGCACCCCCGCAGCACCGAGAACGTGTAGGTGCTACACGAGGGTGCATGGAGGCGCGCGTGGCTTGCGGCGGCATTAAGTACTTCGCCTGCGAGATGTGCTACCGCACAGCTTTCCCACGACGGCCTCCTGTATTCTGTCTTGCAGCACGGCTTCTCCGGCGTCGCTCCTGGCTGGTTCATGCACAAGCCTGGCTGCTGGCCGGCGTTGAGTCTGGTTGGTTCATGCATGAAGTAACCATATATAAGGAGCATATGAGAGTGGCGTTTTGGCTCCTAGGTGCATATGCACCCATTGTCGAAATCCAAATTCCTAGAAGTTGAAAAATTCGAAACAAAAATCCCGCGTGTATATCCGGACATTTTATGTGCGTTCACAAGGTTTCGGTGAAAAACGACGTTTTTTGTGGCTTGTGTAAAAAAGACAATGTCTGATGCTTCATTCTAACTATTCACGAGGCATTTCTTTATCTTTTTTACACAAGCCACAAAAAACGTCGTTTTTCACTGAAACCTTGTGAACGCACATAAAATGTCCGGATATACACGCGGGATTTTTGTTTCGAATTTTTTAACTTCTCGGAATTTGGATTTCGACAATGGGTGCATATGCACCTAGGAGCCAAAGGCAATTACCGCATATATAAGTACAAATAAGTACTCCGTAAGCTTGGTTAGGTTCACATGGCCGGTCTGGAGCCATTAATTGTTAAGCACTGTACTATCGTTACATCCAAGATCCAACAGCCGGTCTAGAGTCCATTGCGGGAATTTGAGCAACTAGAAATACTGATGATTGTACGCAACTTTTTTTACAGATGATCAGATGCCTGAACAACTAAAAATACTGATGGTCACCCGCAAAAATAAAATAAAATACAGATGATCAGATGCCCAACCGAACACTTCATGGAAGAACACACGTACGCAGTTGCACATGAGCTGCACTATATTATCGGATATTTTCAAAATGGAGGCTGCATTATATTACACCACCAGCATCTACAACGAAAGATATGGCGCATTCTTTTACCAGGGAAGAAGACGAGATTATCTCCTACTGAAGTGCGCAAGACATATACACAAACACAAATATGCACGTACAGTCAACAGCCGACCAACCATAGTTGTCACGTGAATGCAACCACGATATAATAGGCAGCCTCGGTTCAACTCGCTAGCATGCTGACCTCACAGCACTAGGTTAGTCGTTCGATTCTCTCACTTGCGCATTGTTTTATTTTCCCTCCATTTCTTTCTTCCTTCTACCCATTGACAGGTGAGCCCCGTCTAGATAGAGAGAGAAAGTGAGCTGACAAGGCGCCATTCAGACGGTTTGACTGGTCAACTAAACGAAATACGGAGCTATACGATGTGATAGTGACCGTATAATCACCATAACAGGTATATGGTGACCGTGTTAACTGTATTCTTAAGTATAGTGACCAAAGTGAGCATACACGATAAGTCCAGTGACCTCCAATGCATTTTACTCGCGCTGCGTCGCGGTTGATCGCTCCGTGGGAGCCGCCCTGAGGCCGAGGGCCTCGAATGATGGCCACGTGGCGCGCTCGTCGCTCTGCGCCGAGGATTTAGGCCGATGGAGGGCGCCGCCGGGGTGCGTCGGGCGCAGAAGGTGTCGCCTCTGCCCAGGTTGTGTACCACGCTGCCGCGCGCCTGAGGGCATCGGCCGTTGGCCGCTGCGGCCGCCTCCAGGTGCAGCGCTGGGAGCAGCCCGGGCCGAAGGATGCTGCCGCTCCGCTAGGAGGCTAGCCGAGGGAGCTCTGTCCGGGCCATGGGTCGCCGCCGTAGTTTTCCTTGGACGGCATTCAAACGACACCCTGGAGGTTAGTGCTTACTTTGTGCATGAACGAAATTGGAATTGAATCACCTTTCTCTCTGGTTTTGTGCTTTTCTTCTCATTTGCATGTGGTTCCTTACCAGATCGAGACACTTGCCGCGCCTGGGTGGGGGCTGGCTGCCGCCGTCTTCGCCGACCGCCGTGCCGTGAGCGGCCATAGGGCGTGGAGATGCGTCGTGCGCCGCCATGGCGTGGGGGCTGTGGCCGGTAGCCGCCGAGAACCACGGACGCGTGCGTAGGCGCAGGAGCCGAACATCGGATCCTGGCTCGCCGCGTCGGCCTCTGGGGCCGAGGGGCGCCGTGCACCACGCGCAGGCCGGAGGGAGCGTCACTGCGAAGGGCCGGCCGTCTCGCAGCGCCTTGGTGCCGCATCCGCCGCCGTTCTTCCGCTGTGGCCTATTTCTCTAATCGAGAGCAGAGTGCGTGATAACGTGTTCGAGATGGACAGAACAAATGATCGAACTATCTCTTTGCATTAGATGAAGTGCTATATATAGCACTGGAACAATCGTTTACAAAAGGGGTGTCGGTTCAGACAGAGCCGACGCAATGGTTGGAGAAGTAACCTCCAACGATTAATACAAGCAGGGATTAATCCCTTAATTACCATGTTAATTAATTTTAACAATACTTACTGTGGTAACCATGGATGGTCGATGTTTCTTGGACAACTCCTTCAGTCCTTCTCGCGGTGATCTTTCAGTTAGAACAGCCTGCCCTGTAGACACCATACTTACTTATTAGAGTTGGAACTGAACTGAAATATGCAGGAAGGCCTTGGAGTCCATGAAGATATGTGGCAAAAAGATAAAAAAGGTTAGCTAGCCTAGCTGGACCAGCACCCGCGATTACTGCAAGTAGAAGTAGATGCAGATATATACTCTTACCTGAAACTTGTACGCATGCGGCATGGCACTTGATTTGGTCCACTCAGTGAAGAAACGGAGGTGCCCTGTTTGGCTGAATTTGGCATGTAGCCGGTTAGGTTAATTGTTGCTAATCACCATGAGCTAGCTGCCAGAAACGGCCGGCCGGGACGCGAAACTGTTATAAGGGCGTGAGTGGGATGATAAGTGCTTCTTGTTTTACTGAACTAATAAATGTTGTTATCTTTTCCGATGGTTCTTGCTGACCATCTATCGTCTGAGCCCCTCGCCGGCCGGATCGCCTTTTGAGGGCGATCTGCAAATGAGATTTCCGTTTTTATACTGTATCTGCCTCTCTTTACTTACTTACATCATGGATAGAAGATTATCGGACATGTGAATGCATTTGGTATGGATATGATTAGCTACTACTTCCTCCGTCCCATAATATAAGAACGTTTTTGATACTAGCGACCGGTGTAATCCGCGAGTCGTAGTCTCGAGTTACACTGTTTTACTGTGAACCGTACCTTTCATCCTTTCGTCTCATCCACAAGGGTTTATGAATGAGAAGAAAATCATGGGTGCAGTCTGTTGCCGGCCTCCCACAAAGACAAGATTAATCCTTACAAGTTGATTATTGCCATTGTCCAACTCGACAAAAACTATAGTAATCAAATCGCTCGAAAATCGCAGTATCATACTGGTAGTACAGTACGTTCAAATTTCATTAATCTGGCCAAACAAGCTACTAGTAGTAGTATCAATCATCGAATCATCATAACCAAACCAATCAACACATTTCATGTGAATCATACGCGCGCACCAACTCTACTGCGACCGTACGTGCGGAGGAGGGATCTTCTTGGCGCCAATATTAACTATGGTTATGGTGTCCGGCGGCGGCGCGGACGTGTCGGAGTCGGAGGTGGTGACACTGCGGTTCGCCCGGCAGGTGGTGGCGGGGCGGTGGTTCATGGCGCTCGCGTGCCTGCTCATCCTGTCCGCGTCGGGGGCGACCTACGCCTTCGGCATCTACTCCACGGCGCTCAAGTCGTCGCTGGGCTACGACCAGCGCACGCTCAACACGCTCGCCTTCTTCAAGGACCTCGGCAGCAACGTCGGCGTCGTCGCCGGCCTCCTCAACGAGGTCGCGCCGCCCTCGGCCGTGCTCGCCGTCGGCGCGGCCATGAACCTCGCCGGCTACCTCATGGTCTACCTCGCCGTCGCCGGCCGGACCGCGCGCCCGCCGCTCTGGCTCATGTGCGCCTACGTCTGCGCTGGGGCCAACTCGCAGTCCTTCGCCGGCACCGGCGCGCTCATCACCTGCGTCAAGAGCTTTCCAGGGAGCGGCCGCGGGGTCGTGCTGGGCCTGCTCAAAGGCTACGTCGGCCTCAGCGGCGCCATCCTCACGCAGCTCTACCTCGCCATCTACGGCGGGGAGGACTCCAAGTCCATCCTGCTGCTCATCGCCTGGCTCCCCGCAGCCGTATCCGTCGTCTTCCTCCCCGTCGTTCGCGTGAAGCCGCCGCCGCCGCCGCCGCCTAGACGAAACGACGACGGCGCTTTCTTCTGCTTCCTCTACATCTCCGTCGCCCTCGCCTCCTACATACTCGTGATGATCGTCGTCCAGAAGCAGAGCAGCTTCTCGCACGCTGCCTACGCCGCGTCGGCCACCGCGCTGCTCATTCTCCTCATCCTTCCCCTGCTCTCCGTCGTCGTCCGGCAGGAGTACTACTACCACTACTGGCTCAACAAAAGAGAGCTCCAGCAAGAGCCTCCGCCAAAGCCCCCGACATCGACATGGGTGACCGCCGAGAAGCCAACCGTTGAAGTCGTGCAAGTGGCAGAGCATCCGCCGCCAACGTCGCCGTCGTCTTCTTCTTGCCTCGGCTCTTGCTTGAAGCACATGTTCAACCCGCCGGCGCACGGGGAGGACTACACCATCCCTCAGGCGCTAGTGAGCGTGGACATGCTGGTGCTGTTCCTGGCCACCATCTGCGGCGTGGGCGGGACGCTGACGGCGATCGACAACATAGGCCAGATCGGGCAGTCGCTGGGGTACCCGGCACAGAGCATCGGCACCTTGGTCTCCCTCGTCAGCGTCTGGAACTACGCCGGACGGGTCACGGCCGGGTTCGCGTCCGAGGCCCTGCTGGCGCGGCACGGCGTCCCGCGGCCGCTCGCGCTCACGCTGGTGCTCCTCCTCTCCTGCGCCGGCCACCTACTCATCGCCCTCGCCGTGCCGCGGTCGCTCTACGCCGCCTCCATCATCGTCGGCTTCTGCTTCGGCGCGCAGTGGCCGCTCATCTACGCCATCATCTCCGAGCTGTTCGGGCTAAGGTACTACGCCACGCTCTACAACCTGGGCGCCGCCGCCAGCCCCGTGGGCGCCTACGTGCTCAACGTGTGCGTCGCCGGGCGGCTCTACGACGCGGAGGCGGCGAGGCAGCGAGGGGACGGCGAGAGCAGGACGTGCATGGGCGTGCGTTGCTTCAGGGAGTCGTTCCTCATCGTAACGGCCGTCACCGTGGGCGGCGCGCTCGTGTCGCTGGTGCTGGTGTGGAGGACGTGGAGCTTTTACAAGGGAGACATCTACGCCAAGTTCAGGGATGCCGTGGCCGTCCAGGAGTCGTCCGACGGTGCTTGCGCGGCTGAGCAGCGGCCGCAGGAGCCGAGTCAACACCGGTAAACCCCGGCAATGCTACACGGACAAACAGTTTACAAATTTTTACAGGGTGGGTTAGTCTTCATTGGCCAACCGGTAAGCGGGATGACCCACCTCCCTGAAAATAGTGGGGGAGAGGTTTGTGATTGATTGTTAGATGAAAACAGTTTACAGGCTTTTACAAATCTTTGTATGTCTAGCATTTTTGGGTAAACACATGAGCTGCTAGACTCACGGACGGTTTTACGTGGCTTGGTCCCAATTGGCCGAGACTTAGGCCCAGTTCTTTTCACACAGGATTCTGCAGAATCAAGATTTTGGAAAATTCTCCCAGAATCTGCTTCTCTCAGAATCTGTTGCCGAGTTCTTTTCTCGGATTGTAGGTTGAGATTTCGAAAAGAGTTGTGTGCTGATATGTCTGTAGTATCCTTAGACAAAAATTGTTCGGAAATGTTAAAGCCCACACGTGTGGGCGTTTGCACATCGCTCACACGCCTCCATCATCACTCATTTTGCCACGTATGAATAGATGACATCAGCATAATTTTTTTTGGTTTTCGGCTTAAAAATGTTGTATCTCCTAAATAAAAAAGCGAACTAAAAATCCGTTTTCACCATTAAATCCGTCTCGACGAGATCTTCAAAACTAGACCCCATGTTGATATGTTTCGACGATTTTTTTTGCCAGAAGTTGCCATAATGTTTACACTGCAGTTGCCATAGGGCTTAAACTAAAGTTGCCATGTGACAATTTTAGTTTATAGATCATGGCAATTTTAGTATTTTGATGATGGCAACTCCAGTACTTTGACCATGAAAATTATTTTTTGTATGAACCATGGCAATTTTACGTGCATGTATCATGGCAATTTTAGTTTATGGTTCATGGTAAGTCTAATTTCTTAATTCCCCGTTTTATAAATGTCAAAATTTATTTTTAAATGTAGAAGAAAATAGCTGAAACATATCATGGCAACTTCAGTGTAAACATCATGGCAATTTATATGCAATAGACATGGCAACTTTTAATCCAAATTTTTTTTCATCAAAACATATCAACATGGTATCTAGTTTCGAAGATCTCATCGCGAGGGATTTAATGGTGAAAACGGATTTTCAATCGGATTTTTCGTTTAAGAGATAAAACATTTTAAAAACTAAAAATCCCAAATGATTCCTGCATGCATGCATGCGATGACGTTGCAATCTGTTTACATTAGAGATGTGTGGTGCGTCTCCCTTCCTGCCACACGTGTGGCAGTTAGCGCGACCCAAAATGTTTGATAAATTTATTAACACCTTGTTGTTTCTAACAGTATCTGGTTGAATACGAGTACGAAAGTGATTTATGAATGTCATAAAAAATGCTAAATATTACATTTAGAATGGATTTAAAGATTTGTTCATTACAAAAGTGGATGAACTAAAAAAATGGATATTCTCAAGGTACGAGACTAGTAGCAATCGCCTCGCGTATTGCGTTCATGGTACCATCATCTTCTGGTGGTAGAGCGTTGGCACCTGTAAACGGCAATGGAGGTTGCACATATGCATCATTATCGAACTTGTCAAAATGCTCATCACGTAACTTGCTATCACGAATCCAATTGTGGAGACACATGCATGCAGTGACAATCATCTTTTTGGTCTCCGGTTTGTATCGAGGTATGCCTCCAACTCCAAGAATTCGCCATTTCATCTTGAGAACACCAAATGTTCTTTCGATGACATTTCGCCAAGAAGAATGTCGATGGTTGAATGTCTCATATCTCCCAACTGGTGGGTGTTGTTGAAAATCTGGTACATGGTATCGTTGCCCTTTGTATGGAGATAGATATCCAACCCTGTTTGGATATCCGGAATCGACAAGATAATATTTATCTACAATATAACATCAACAAAAGAAATTAGAAATTTACAACATATATACCATTACAACATATATACCATCAACAAAAGTACACCTCCAAAGCAAGTAGCTTAGCTCACAACATTACAAGTAAATAGACTAGTAGAAAGCAATTAAAACATAGATGTTCTACTTATTATTGAGCTTCCACATCCTCTTTATCCATCCAAGCCTTGCAAGAGGTTCATGAGCCGTGAAAGTGGAGAAAACATCACGATATTTCTTTTCCATGAAAAGAAATGTAGCATAGAAATGCTCATCACTTCCTGGTTTTGCACCATTCGCTTCCATCATGGCCATCATTTGTTTAATCTCTTGTCTTGTTGGATTCACACTCTCCTCTACATCCCTCTTCTCTGCTTTCCTCCTCTCCCTTGCCCTTTCCTCTTCATCCCTCTTCTCCCTTGCCCTCTCCTCTGCATCCTCTTCTCCCTTGCAATCTCCTCTGCATCCCTCTTGTCTCTTGCACCAAAGATGTCCACCATGCGTACAAAAGCCTCATTTTTAGCATTCTCACTTGCCCACTTGTCATTCATCTTTGGACTTGGCGAATAAGGACACGCCCTCTTCTTCCCACCCTTGGCTTGATTTTGAACAGGGGTAACTTGGCCTTCATAACTATCACACCCTGACTCATCCTCCAAACTGATTCGAGAGGGATCACCTTGATACGAGGGAGTTGGCACCCTCGCATGCTCATTTGTGACACAAGTAGTATCGAAAACCTCTGACATTTTTTCCTCCTCCGCTAGTGGAGCATAGCGAAACTTGGCAGCTTCTGGATGTGCCTATAATCATATAGCACCACAGGTTAATATCAAAACTGAAGCAACATGACTCATTATTTAAGAAATTGCATGACAACAAGAATACCTTTATCTCCAACGCCCACCACTCATTTGTAGCTACAATAGTGTGTGTATGCTCATCTCTTCCTAAGCCAGATGCTTGCTGGATCAATGTCTTCCATGTGTTGTACTCGCTTCTACATACACCCCACCTATTTTTCATTTGCCGGGTCGAATAGTTTCTTCCAGAGCGTTCATTGAACTTTTTATTCAAATTAGCTTGTCCTATGTCTGACAAATAACCACCGTTCCAGTTATTTGCTCGAACCTCCTCTACGCACGCATTCATAAAAATTGTATGAGCAGCACCGTCCCAATTTGCTTTGGGTTCTTTGACTTTCTCCATCTACCATTACCATTCACCATCATCACATTAGCATTCTACCATAAAAATCAATGTAACAACATCTTCAGTAGCAATAGCATCAATACAACCATCCATCGATACAGTAGCAAGTAGCAAATACCATAGTAGCATTGACAGTAGCACACAAAAAAAATCATACATATATCTAACAAATCCATATATATATATATATATATATATATAGGGTGGGTCTATTATGATAACACCCTTAAGACCCTTATTCTGCACACCTAAACG